CGGCTTCGTATTCGGTATCGTCAATTAGTCCTGCCACTTTTAGCACCACACTACAACTCGTCAAAGAGACAAGTGAATCGATCATTTGACCAAATGTAGGCTAAACAGTTGTGATATCTCTCATTCTGTCCTGGACTATTCACATCTCCTATATCCTCGTTTCACCTCTTCAATGTCACAATTTATCACTTGTTTATCTAAACCAATTTTAAACTTATTCGCACTCGCTGCTGGTTTCCTCATCCCTCTCACTGTGCCGGGAGTGTTGATCCAAGGATGCTGTTTAATCCGCAATCCTCTTCGTGTCCTATCAGAGTCTCCCTCTTACCTGTTTCAGGCAGCATGCAAAGTTTTCGCTAATCCTGCCTTCTTCAAGTCTCCTGTTCATTAGGTTTCTTTCAGTCAGGATATCTGATATATCTCGTATCTTACGTTTTCTTGAATTTCCATCATATGCAGTCAGCCTCCCTGTCGCTTTTCACTCGATTTCATCTTCTGTTCGTTCGATGTGTTTAGCTATTTCGAATCTTTCAGTGTCCATGTTTCCGCAAAGTCTTTGGTGCTTCTTGATTCGTAGGCTTATTGTTTTTCCTGCTTCCCCAATATACTTCTGCTCACAGTTGCCGCATTTGATGCTATAGACTCTCGAGCAATCCAGTTTATCAACCTTCTCGTGTTGTGTCGGCATGCTTGTGAAGAATGTTGTCTTTTCTTTTGTTATCACCTTGATATATCATTTTCTTAGCAAATGTCGCAATTTATACCTCAGTTCACAGGAAGGCAGGCATATCTATTTTTGTTGTTCTCCCGATTTCTGATATTATTTTCATAAAATCATAGTTGAACTCTGCTCTTTATGACCCCTATATTTCTTTTTATAAATTCTCTGGGCTACTCGTTACTAAGGCAAATCCGAGTCAATTTCTTAAACTCCTCGTTGTAGAACTTAGTGTCCGTTAGTATTAAGCTGCTGATGAACATACTACTCATTATTCTGATCTTCAGTGTGCCGTTGTGATAAGACTGGAAATTGAGGATTATTCCCGCATATGATTTCTTTCTGAATAGTCTTCTTTTGAATATTCCATTGAAGCGAATGACCTCAACATCCAGGAAGAAAAATCGTCTATCCTCCTCCACTTCCATTGTGAATTTAATTTTTTTATCAAGTTAGTTTATAAAATTAAGGAATTCCTCAAAGTTTTCCCTACCATGTGACCAAAGTGCAAAGTAGTTGTCCAGGTACCGAAAAAGCACTCTTGGTTGCAGCGGTGACTTCTCGAATTCCTTATCCAATCTGTCCATGTATACATTTGCTAAAAAAAGGTGAGAGTGGAGATCCCCTTGGTAGTCCAAATATTCACACAAAATATTGCCGTTGAATGTAAAATATGTGGGTTGATTAGTCGTGTTAACAATTCCTCCCCTATCCGCTCTGCCTCCAGGATATCCTCCTTTTGTTCCAAGATCGACATCAGGGCTGTGATTGCCTACTCGCCTGAGATGTTTGTGTACATGAATTGTATGTCAAAACTTACAAACATTTCCGTCCCTGCCAGTCTAAGTTTGGATCCTTTGAGAAAATTCATATGAATTCCTGACGGTATTCGAGAGTCTGTCATTTACTTTCTTGAGCTTCAAGCAAATAAATTTCGCTAGTTTGTATGTTGCTTTATGCTTGTTGTTGACTCTTAACCTTAGCGGATTTCCTTCCTTGTGCATCTTCGGTAGTTTGTAGGCTGTCGGTGGCCTTGCGTCATTTTTGATTAAATATTTGATCATCCATCTATCAATTTACCCATTTGTATGCCTTTCCTTTAGCCTATTCTTCAGTTTCCCGTTGATCTTGATTGTTGGATCCTTTCTTATTATTTGATAGATGTTCCGATCATCTAAGATACTTTCATTTCTTCCGTGTACTGTTTCCCGTCCATTACAACCGTCGCTCCTTCCTTATTCGCAATTCATTTGTAATTTTCTACGTACCTTCATCAATCCGCTCTTTTCCATTGGCTCTTAATGGGTCCGAATTCTCCAGGTTAATTCCGTTTGCATCTCCCATTTGGTCTCTTTTGGGAATTTCTCCGAGATGTTGATAACTTCTACAAGGATATCTTCTTAAATGTATCCTACGTTACTGATTTAAAAATTTAACCCTTTCTTCAGGAGATCCACTCTCTCGGAATCAAGATGGATTAGAGACAGGTTTACTACCTTATCCCCATCGTCGGTTGTAGCCGTTGATGCCTTCAATACAAAACCATCAAAATTGGCCCGGGTTGGTTTGATCCTACGCTGTCTTATTATCCCATATCTAAGCAATTTCTTGTCATGACGCTTATTTATCAAATCCCGGACCCTCTGTGACTTCTGATTAGTCATACTCTGGAGTTTATGAAAATTATCTGGAGTGAGAACCTTGCCTAGATTCTTCCTTAATTCAGACTTAATATCTATGACCTTAAATAGCTTACGCCCCTCAGTTCCGCAACTGTCTTCTAATTTCTGGATGGAGACACAATCGGAAACCAAGAGAAGACGTCTACAGTGAGCCCATTCATATCAAGTAGAAGCATCAGATTTGAGGGTTGGCACGCGATATAATGTCATAGCAGAGCGAGATGAACTGTGGTGGATATTTCCAGTTAACTATTAATGGTCCATGCAGTAAAGGCTTGACCAAGAGATGAATTTGGGGACATGCCACACAACAAAAGGGAAACTGCAGTGTCAAGTTAGGCTGACATGTCAAATGAGAATCCAGACTTTGAGGGCTT